CCGGTCCAAAACAGTCCAGTGGCACCTTTAAGACCAAGTTTTATTCAGGTACAAGCTATGCCTCCTCTGTGAGGACAAATCTGCATGTCCCCCCCACCAATAGCTAGCAATCCGAAACAGTCCAGTGGAGCCTGAGCAGTGGATGTTGCATTCTGACACACTTCCAGTGATGTCAGGGGGTGTGGCATATGCAAATAAATTATGCTAATGAGTTATGCTAATGAGCTCCTGTACCTCTTTTTCTACGAAATGACTCCTGGACACCAGTACTGGGGACTGTACAAAACTGATGCATATTGTCTTAATGTTGTTTTAATGGTTTTTAATTAATTATTATTATTACTATGTTGTTGTGATGCCGTAAGGCCTCAGTTTTGATTGTGATCCGCCCTGATCCCATTCATGGGCAGGGTGGAATAAAAATGTGAAAATTAAATTAAAGGTGGCTTGGGTGGGGCAGTGAAGTAAGTGGATCAGTGAAGCTGAGGATCTCAAGTGTGTGTGGTTTCACTGGATGCAACATACAAAGGGAAGCACTAACAAAAGAGTGGATTTTAGAGAGTCTGGGATTAAGAAAACAGTCGCTGTCATAGTTCCTTTTCCCTTTTTGTTTCAAGGGGCCTCAGTATAGCTCCTTCTGATGGGATATTGCATTAATAAATTAAAGATGATTTTGGTCATTCACTTTGTTAAAAGGGTCATGCCAAGTAACCCCAATTATAAGGATTTTAAACTCCCTGAAAATGTTGCTTGTGCTTCTGAGACACTCATTATTCTTCATCTTACAAGAGCACTGGAGTTGCCAGCCATCAAGTATTTCACCTTAAATCCTTCTTAATCAGTATTTTTGCTTTGGGCCCATTTGTTATTTATTTATTTTAAAAAGCAGACCCCACCTTAGCCAAAAGTTTAAAGCCGTTAAGACTTCACTAGTAATAAAACATTTTTAAAAACATAGTTATCAGTCTAGATGTCCAGATGAAAACCAGAAACAAATTGTACCAGATCAAAATGTTCAAAGGAGTCGTGCCAGAATGTTTTGAAGCCCATTCTATAGAACTGGTAAAGGTAAAGGTTCCCTTGCTCGAAAGCCAGTTGAGTCCGACTCTAGGGCTGCGTTGCTCATCTCCGTTTCAAAGCCGAAGAGCCAGCGCTGTCCGAAGACATTTCCGTGGTCATGTGGCCGGCATGACTAAACACCAAGGCGCACGGAACGCTGTTACCTTCCCACTGAAGTGGTACCTATTTATGTACTTGCAATTTCTTGCTTTTGAACTGCTAGGTTGGCAGGAGCCGGAATTAGAGACGGGAGCTCACTCCGTCATGCGGTACCCGGGTCTCGAACTGCTGAACTACCAACCTTCCACAGCCTGCAGTTCAGCGTCTTAACCACTTGAGCCACCGCAACTCCATAGAACTGGTGCTACCACACTATTAAAGCATACATTCTAGCAGAGGATGCATGTATCTGGAGAATGGAGCAAACAGTCATTGGACCTGTTACCCTGACCTAAACGGGTCAATGGAGACATATAGGAAGACAACAAAGTTCTTCAGCTGTGTGGGTCCCAAGCTGTAAAGGTGAGATGTAAAGACGTGTAATGTACTCATTCCCAGCAGAGTGCATCGGTGTCAACCCCTTCCCCAGTTCCTGTACCTCACCGCTCCACTCGAAGAAGGAAAGCACCCACCTATCTGCAGGACTTTGTGTGTGGGTATCTTTTGGACCAAGGGGGGAGGGGTGTGATGTACTCATCTCCGACCGCGTGCGGTCATGCGAAGCGTCCGAGCTTCACTCCTAGAGACAATGGGCCAAGCGGATCCTAGCCCGCACCAACCCGAGGGCTAGGCTCCCGGCCGAGAGCCTATGGAACTCTCGGTCACTGTAAATAACCTATCACTGGTGTGGGGGTGTGTTTTGGGTGTGGGTTTGAGTGCAAATTTAAGCTGGCCTGCGAGCCAGTAACTTTCGTCTTGTTCTTCACCTAATAAAGTATGAGAGCTGAATTCACTAGTAAGTCTCAGTACTTTTCAGCCTGGAAACAAACTTAAAGCCAATGAAGCTGCTTCATGACAAGCTTAAGAAGGTACTCTGCTCAACACCAGTCAACAGTGAGTGGCTGCACTCTGTACCAGCTGAAGTGTCTGAGTTGAAAAACACATTATTAATAATCTGACTTGGAAATTACTGAAGCATGGATCAGCCAAGTCTACAAGGGAGGATAATCTATGAACTAAGTGTAGATGGAAAAGTTATCCTTGGCATGTATAGGGAGCAAGTCTGGTTTTAGGAGCATGCCTGAAGTCCTCACCTGATCTAACAGAGTTAGCTCAACCCATCGAGGTCAAATAAGGCACAGAACATCACCCCCCCTCCCCATCACCCGGGTTTGGTTAAACAAGCTCACTTGTTCCCCTCATATATTTATGTTGGGTATTACAAGTTGAAAACACTCAGTATATCTGGGGTTAAATGTTTGTTTATGTTACTCACAGGAAGTCACATGTTTTTCATGTAACCAATGTTCTTTAGCTGTAGAATGCCTGGGAATTTTCTCCCTGATCTAGGAATTTGATTGGGAGTGTCAAGGTATGGCATCTCTTCCCGTCTTTGTTTGATGTTCTGAAGAAGAAGAAGAGTAGCCATAATCTCTCTCTTCTAGTTTCCTCTTTGTAGAGGAAGGATGTAGCCGATTTTGCTCTGTTGTTATTTTCATCCCAGTTACCCTCCCCATGCTAGAATTTAGTGAAAACTTTATATTTTAATCACACATGGACTCTCAGTCTGAATTATTTTACTCCGGCTCTGCTGGACCATTTTATCTCCGTTAAATACCATTTTTTCAATATCTCACTATCACCCAACGATTTATCAGATATTTTCTTGAATAAACGAGAAAGTTATTTCTCCTTCATAGGGTTGCCAACCGCCAGGTGGTAGATGGAGATCTCCTGGGATTACAATGGCCACTTTAGCAGGTGGACTCTATGGCATTATATACCCCATTGAAGTTCTTCCTCTTCCCAAACCCTGCCCTCCTCAGGCAGGTATTTCCCGACCCAGAGCTGGCAAGCCTACCTATTCGCCCTGACCCTCCAGCTCCTACCCCAGGCACATGGGAATCTGCCGGGCCTCAGCCCACTGAAAATCACAGGGCTCCCTGCATTCATCTGCCCCCTGGCTCTCCCAACACTCACTGGCCCCTGGGCCATCCACGTCTGGCTCGCTCCAACTGGCTGCATATTTTTAAAATTACAAGTTGGTAATCCTAGTGAGCTGCGGTGGCTCAAGTGGTTAAGACGCTGAACTGCAGGCTGTGGGAGGTCGGTAGTTCAGCAGTTCGAGACCCGGGTGTGCCGCATGACGGAGTGAGCTCCCGTCTCTAGTTCCAGCTCCTGCCAACCTAGCAGTTCAAAAGCAAGAAATTGCAAGTAGATAAATAGGTACCAGAGCTGCGGTGGCTCAAGTGGTTAAGACGCTGAACTGCAGGCTGTGGAAGGTCGGTAGTTCAGCAGTTCGAGACCCGGGTGTGCCGCATGACGGAGTGAGCTCCCATCTCTAGTTCCAGCTCCTGCCAACCTAGCCGTTCGAAAGCAAGAAATTGCAAGTAGATAAATAGGCACCACTTCGGTGGGAAGGTAACAGCGTTCCGTGCGCCTTGGTGTTTAGTCATGCCGGCCACATGACCACGGAAACGTCTTCGGACAGCGCTGGCTCTTCGGCTTTGAAACGGAGATGAGCACGGCAACCCTAGAGTTGGACTCGACTGGCTTTTGAGCAAGGGAACCTTTACCTTTAATCCTAGTGAGGACACTTGACAAAATCCCCGTGTGAGCAGCAGAGTGGTGCTGATCTCACAGCTTTACACACAGAGCGCTTCCAGCTACAGAATATAGTTCCCAGTGGAACGCTGCGCCCATCCTATGCAAGTTATTTCAGGGTAAAGCCACTGAACTCGGGACTTACTTCTGAGTAAAGGTGCACAGGATCGGAGTCCTGCGCACCTTTTGCTTGCAGCGTCTCCCTTTCCTTGTATACGTTCTTGAAGGAGCCAGAGCCTGCCTTTTCAAAACTTCGAGGCAGGCGCTTTAGAAAGCAGGCGGGTTGTGTGAGTGTGAATGTGTGTGTTTGTGTGATTATCTCGGTACCATCTGCCTCGAAGAATGATGGGGGGGCTGTTTGCAGTGTCTAGCGGCTGGCTTGAAGAAAGGGAGAGTTCAGCCAAAGCATGCTTGTTTGCCCTTTTATCTACAGAGTAACTACCGGCTTCGGCAGGAATTTAGGCGATTAATTCCCAGTCTCTCCCCTGCGATCCATCCAGTGGGGGGGATCCCCGCCCAGATGTCTTGGAGACGACAGCGCTGTCGTCCCGTCTCCCCGTTCCCCCTCCACCGCCAACCCACCCCGCTCTGCTATTTCGCCAACCCCTGTGAATTGAGCTTGGCTAAGTAAACAGCACCGAGCTGCTAATCACACGGTCTGAAACAAAACAGCACTTCACTTCGGATCTGGGCAAGATCAGTCCTCTTCCTCCTCCTCCTCCTCCTCCGGCTTTCCTTAGCAGCGGCGGAGCCGGTCCTCCGGCTCGAGCCATTCCCCCCTTGTCTTCGCACTCTCTCTACGTCTCTCGGTCTTTCACGACCCTCCCCAGGCTTGCGGGC